GTCCCGCGACACGGTTCCGGCCCGCACAGCGCGGAAACTCACTTCGGCTCTGCCGGATCTGACAGACGCACCCACCCTACCCGGAGACTTTGACAAAGTCCTCGGTGTCCCAGTCCCCGGTGCCTACTTCTTGCCTCTGTGGGACTCAAACTGAGCAGGGGACCTTCCCGGCACTCTGCCCCATCACATTCCACCGCGCGCTTCCAAGTTCTCCTCTGACACACAGTTCCTTCATCCTCAGAGCCCACGCCATGCTCTGAACTCTAACTTTGGGGCTCAACAGGCTTCCCCTTTTTGTGGAAAATTAGACCATGAAAATTCACCCTTATTCCTTCTGCCCTCATGCTCCTCACTCAGGGGAGCTTCCTGACCTGATACATGCCTTAGAAACTTCACACAAAGTTCTGTGGTTCCCACTCTCCCTGTCCCTAACTCGTCCAGGCTCCAGGTTCTCACTTTACCCCACTTAGGGCTCAGTTTGTAATGAGTAGACCACTCCCAGTCCCCTAGGTCCCCTACTGTGTATGCGGTCCCAGCCCTAGCTGTATCGTCTGGTGGAGATTCCTAACAAGTCCTGCGGAGCCACCTCCCTTTCCTTGGCTCCCTACCTCTGTGTGGCCTCTCTAGCCTCCTGACCCTGGTCTTCTTTTGTTGAATCTCCCTTCTGACTGCCCCCACCCTCTCCCTCAAGATGGACAGTAGTTCCCCCTCACAAGTTTTGCCCAGAGAGATCTTTTCTCTGAGGTCCCCCAGGATGAGAGTCTTGATTCAGACTTGCATTGCGTCTTCTAACCTGAAACTGCTACTAACCTCTGCTGTCTGGGCAGCCTCAGTGTCCCTGTGTTACACTAGTGCTGAGGATTATGAGTGGGGCCTCAGCTTTCCTGGTGTGAGCCGCTTCCCAGAGTGAGAGCAGGCACAAAAGATGAAGAAGGGCCATTCTCTCAGTTCTTCTGTGGGTAGGCAGCCTGAATCTCACCAGGGCTGAGCTTGTCTCCCCAACTCCACAGGCCTGGGTTCTGAGGAAAACGCAATGGTGACCATGGACTTGGGCTCCCCCCCGCTCCCTAAGAAGAGCCTGCCTATCTCTGGGGCCCTGGAACAGGTGGCCAGTCGGCTGAGCAGCAAAGTGGCTGCAGAGGTTCCTCATGGCAGCAAACAGGAGCTGCCGGACCTCAAGGGTGAGTGGCTCAGGTGGCATGGTGGGAGATGCGAGCCAGGCTAGTCATATTCGCACTTGTGCTCTTGAGCCTGGGGGCTAATGTAGGGGTCTAGGTTGGCCCCAGCTTCCTCTTGGGCACCTTGAAGTACCAAAGTTGACACCCAGCTGTCTTCCCTCTCGAACTTCTGCAGAGATCTGAGCTCCACCCTCACTGGGTGAGGGGATGGCATCCAGAAAAGCAGTGGGCATGGTGGTCAAGAGCTCACACTCTGACCCGGTTCATTCACCGACCATGACCCCTGTTAGCTATGTGATTTCGCATGTGATGCCCATTGATCCTGAGGTTGTTGTTGAGTAGACCCAAGGGGTATGGAAGGGCAAAATGAACCTGGCCTTTACTGTTGGGGTACAGGGAGGCAGAGGAGCAGATAAGCAGAGATAAGGGCTCTGTAGGAGAGGGTGCAGGAAAGTACAGAGACTGTGGTTGGGGCTCCAAACCAGCATTTAGGGCATGTGTTGAGCCACAGAGGGTGGCTAGAACTTAGCTCAGTGACGTGTGTGGCTGGCAGTTCAGCATTTGTGACTTTCTTGCCAGGGGACCTGGAAGATCAGAGTTCTAAAAGGTGTCCCAGTGCCTGGGTCATAGAAGGGCTCTGCCTCCTGCTGTGTAACCTTAGGCACAACTTTTCCCTTCTCTGAGCCTCAGTTTCCTTATTTGTAAACCAGACAGGCTAATCCTTGCCTCATTAAGGTCATTGGGAGGATCAGGGATGGGGGCGGGGTCGGTGGAAGCAAAACACTTCCACAGAGCCTGGGTGATTGGGACCCCACGAGGAGGAAAAGTGGGAGAGCCAGGCCTCGGGCCTCACAGCCTGCTCTCCCGGCCCCCATGTCACCCTCCAGCCCAGAGCCTGACCACCTGCGAGGTCTGCGGTGCCTGCTTTGAGACCCGCAAGGGCCTGTCCAGCCACGCGCGCTCCCACCTGCGGCAGCTGGGAGTAGCGGAGTCGGAGAGCAGCGGTGCGCCCATCGACCTCCTCTATGAGCTTGTGAAGCAGAAGGGCCTGCCCGACGCTCACCTTGGGCTGCCCCCAGGTCTGGCTAAGAAGTCCAGCTCACTGAAGGAGGTGGTCTCCGGGGGCCCCCGGCCCAGCCTGCTCACCCTGGCCAAGCCCTTGGATGCACCGGCTGTCAACAAAGCCATCAAGTCACCTCCTGGCTTCTCAGCCAAGGGCCTGGGCCACCCACCCAGTTCTCCGCTCCTCAAGAAGGCATCGCTGGCCCTGGCGGGCTCTCCTACCCCCAAGAATCCTGAGGACAAGAGCCCCCAGCTATCCCTGAGCCCCCGGCCAGCCTCCCCAAAGGCACAGTGGCCTCAGTCTGAGGATGAGGGACCCTTGAACCTCAGTGAGTGTGGGTCCTGGGAGTTGAGGGAAGTCCCAGCACTGGGAGGGATAGGGGCCTTAGGTCGGGCTATAGGGCCCAGTATGAGGGCAATGAGGACTGCATCCCCCATGTTCTGGGTCAGCTGGGTCACAGTATTGGTTGGGCTCTGCATCTCCTGTTGGGTTGCCTTGCATATGGTTGTCTGTCTCTTACTTTCCTTTGCTGATTTTCCCCTGGACACCTGACTGTGGCTGCTGAGCCTGCCAGGGTCATCACCACTGAGGGCCAGCTCTTGACCTACTCTGGACCTGAGGGTGGGGACAGAGGGTGACCAGGGCTCCCATGGGTTTGGCTTCCCCAGTGGGAGCTCCAGGCATCTTGGGTCCTGCAGGTAGACAGGTGGTCCATCTCACAGGAGGTGCCTGTAGTTGTCCCTGCCTTCACGTCTTCCTGGCCATCCATGCAGAGGCAGTTCTTGCTCTCTCCTCACTCTCACTCGCTCTTTCTCTCTTTCTCGCTCGCTCGCTCTCGTTCTCTCTCTCTCGCTCTGGTACGCTCTCGCTCTCCCTCTCCCTCTCCCTCTCCCTCTCCCTCTCCCTGCCTGGGGTTGGAGCCTCTTACCTCCTGGGCTGCTGATGGGCTTGATAGGTAGAGTTTGGGAGGAAACCCTGCAGGTGCAATGAGCAGGTTTAACAAGGCTGTCCCTTAGAACATCAGGCTTTCCTATACCTCCGTGGGCCTTAGAGTCTGGGGTTGACCCCAGGGTCAGCCCAGTGGAGCTCCCCTATCCCTTGAAGTTGCTTCCATGGTGTCTGCTGTGCTTCCAGCAGCAGGGCCCTGAGGAAGTGTGCCCTTGGCTGCATGGTGCCCAGCAACCACCATCTGCCCCACACATCTCCCGGAGCAGGGGTCCCAGGGGAGAGGGCCTGGGAATGTCCAGTTTTGCCACTGGAATTTGGTCACTGTCTGTCCACCCACTTCCTTGAGTTCTCCACACTCCCCTTGGTGCCAAAGGACTAGGCAGGGAAGAGGACATCCTGCTTCCTAGAACCACTCAAAAGAAATCGCAGCATGAGTCTTGGACCCTCACACTGCCCGGGCAGCCGAGAATCACACCAGACCCTCCTGCCTCAGTCCCCCAGGGCCAGCCAAGGTGGCGGCCGTGAAACGCCCCCCTGTGTTTTGTCTCCGCAGCTTTAGATAGTGACGGGGGCAGAGAGCTGGACTGCCAGCTGTGCGGTGCCTGGTTTGAGACCCGCAAGGGCCTGTCCAGCCACGCCCGTGCCCACCTGCGCCACCTGGGCGTCAGCGACCCGGACGCCAAGGGATCCCCCATAGACGTGCTCCACGGGCTCATCAGGAGGGACGGCGTCCAGATCCGCCTCCCACCCGGGCGCGGCGCCCTGGCCCAGCTGGGGCGGCCTCCTCCCGCCTCTGCGGCCCTCTCCTTGCTCCCCCCCCCACCGCCGGCCAAGAAGGCCAAGCTGAAGGCCGCGGGTTTGGCCAGCCCCTGGGGGAAGCAGGACCTCTCGGCCGCCGCAGCCGCCGGCATTTTCTGGGCCTCTGATGTGGAGCCGTCTCCTCTCAACCTCTGTAGGTTCTCGCTTCAGCCGCCCCCTCCTCCCTGCGGGCCCTGGAGCCCCTCCCGGGGGGGTCGCTGCTCCCTCCCTGCTGGGGCAGGGAATAGACAGGGGTCCTTGGCAGTGGGCCAGTTCTACCCCGAGATCTTGTTGGCAGTGGGCTGCTAAGTCCTCTCTCTTGGCCTTTGACCTCCATGACTGTAACCCTCCCTGAGAATGAAGGCCAAGGAGCGGGATCCTGCCTTTTGGTGTGCAGGGTGCCCACATCTGCCCCTGGTCCAGAGTGCACATGGCACCTCGGCTGTCCTCCTGCCCCCTTGTCCTTGTTTGGGACTTGAAAAGCCGTGGTGTCTTGGTTCCGCCCTCCTCTGCTAGGACCAAGGGCCCATGTGCTCTCTGGAGCCTCCCTTGCTCCTGCTGGGTGTCTGGCCCCTGCCCCACTCCTCAGCTCCCTCGCTTGCACTTGCCCTTCACCACCACCTTAGCCTGAGGGTGTGCTGCTACCCACGCCCAGCTGACCAGGACACTTCTGCAAGCGATTGTGCTAGCGATTCCAGGATGCTAACTGTGCCTTTCTCCTGCTGCAGCCTCGGGCCCAGAGCCAGCACGAGACATCCGCTGTGAGTTCTGCGGCGAGTTCTTCGAGAACCGAAAGGGCCTCTCAAGCCACGCACGCTCCCACCTGCGGCAGATGGGCGTGACCGAGTGGTATGTCAATGGCTCACCCATCGACACGCTGCGGGAAATCCTGAAGAGACGGACCCAGTCTCGGCCTGGTGGACCCCCTAACCCGCCAGGGCCCAGCCCAAAAGCCCTGGCCAAGGTGATGGGCAGCGGAGGTCCTGGCAGCTCACTAGAAGCCCGCAGCCCCTCGGACCTTCACATCTCACCCCTGGCCAAGAAGCTACCACCGCCACCAGGCAGTCCCCTGGGCCACTCACCAACTGCCTCTCCTCCCACGGCCCGGAAGATGTTTCCAGGTCTGGCCACACCCTCCCTGCCCAAGAAGCTGAAGCCTGAACAAATGAGGGTGGAGATCAAGCGGGAGATGCTGCCAGGGGCCCTTCATGGGGAGCCACACCCATCTGAGGGTCCCTGGGGTGCACCGCGGGAAGACATGACACCCCTGAACCTGTGTAAGTGTGACCCTGCGACCAGGCAGGGAGAAAAGTTTGAGGGCTCTCCTCCCTGCCTTCCCTCAGTGGTATCCTGAGGGCTGAGGGTTGAAATGGAAGGGAGGATACAGAGGTCCAGAGGACAAAGGGCTAGCTGTGCATTCCTGCTACGCAGACCCTGCAACTGAGCTGTGGCTTGAGCAGGGAGGTAAAATTGTGTCTTTCAGCAATGGCAAACATTTTGTTTCTTGTACCATCTTTGGTCGATTGGTAGTGGCTGCCAACCAGACTCCTTAGGGAGAAAAACTACAGGGACCAATTAGTGATGTCTCTGTGGGCAGGAGTGTAGGGACTGGCAGCAGATGTCTGAACTGTCTTTCTGGCATTCTTGGTAATTAAGTGCTTGACATTTAGAGTCACGTTTGAGTCCAGATGTCTGTTCCTTCGCAGTCTAGCAATATGTGACCTTGGGCAAGTTTCCTTATTTGTAAAGTGGAGATCAGCAGAGTCCCAACTATGGTTTTCTTGAGGATTAAGTGGGAAAAGCACTGAGCACAGCACCTGGTTACAGAAAACTCTGTATACAGTAGTTGTAATGTCACTGCCACTTGCTGCTGCACCGTCTCTGTGTTCATTCTGCTCAGGTTGGTTGAATGCCTACTGTGTGCGGAGCAGGTGAGGGTTGCCCAGGTTCTGCCTTAGAGCTCACGTATATCACATGCTGGCTCTGTGCCACATGCTCTGAGTTGTTCCCATTTTAGACTGTCCCAGTAATGCTGGGAAGTGGAGGTTTTCATCTCCATTTTGCAGAGGAGGAAACTGAGGCTCACAGAGGGAACATGGCTTGCCCAGGGTCACACAGGGAGATGTTATGAAATCAGCTAGAATTTGAGGTGACAGAACAAGCAGAAGGACCAGGTGTACACAAGGGCCACTGGAGACCCAGATGAGGTAGCAGGTCCTTGGGGTCTGTCTAGAGGTGTGGATAGGGGTAGCTAAGCAGTTGGCACTGATACGGGCCTTGAGCTTGGAGGCTTCCTGCCCGCAGCCGCTGCCTCCTTCTCCTCCTCCTTCTCCTCCTTTCCCCTACCCTGGACCCCCTGCAGCGTCCCGGGCAGAGCCAGTGCGCGACATCCGCTGCGAATTCTGCGGTGAGTTCTTCGAGAACCGCAAGGGCCTGTCCAGCCACGCCCGCTCCCACCTGCGGCAGATGGGCGTGACTGAGTGGTCCGTCAACGGCTCACCCATCGACACGCTGCGGGAGATCCTCAAGAAGAAGTCCAAGCCGTGTCTCATCAAGAAGGAGCCGCCAGCTGGAGACCTTGCCCCTGCCCTGGCTGAGGATGGGCCCCCCACAGTGGGTCCTGGGCCCCTGCAGTCCCCATTGCCACTGTCACCCCTGGTTAGCCGGCCAGGCAAGCCAGGTGCAGGCCCAGCCCAGGTTCCCCGTGAGCTCAGCCTGACGCCTATCACTGGGGCCAAACCCTCAGCCACTGGCTACCTGGGTTCAGTGGCAGCCAAACGACCCCTGCAGGAGGACCGCCTCCTCCCAGCAGAGGTCAAGGCCAAGACCTACATCCAGACTGAACTGCCCTTCAAGGCAAAGACCCTCCACGAGAAGACCTCCCACTCCTGTAAGCAGCGGGTGGCAGGGTCCTGGGAGGGCATTTGCCAGGGCCTGCAGGGCCGGGCAGAGCCGCGAGTGTGCACACTGACCCTAAGTGGGGCCCCTGTGGCAGGGTCCCTGTGGGAGGTGGGATTGGCTCCCAGCCTGGGCAGGGCCATCTGGGTACACCTGCCCCATTCGGGCTGTGGCTCAGCAGCACCCCCTCCACCCCGCAGCCACTGAGGCCTGCTGTGAGCTGTGTGGCCTCTACTTTGAAAACCGTAAGGCTCTGGCCAGCCATGCACGGGCACACCTGCGGCAGTTCGGCGTGACCGAGTGGTGCGTCAACGGCTCGCCCATCGAGACGTTGAGCGAGTGGATCAAACACCGGCCCCAGAAGGTGGGCGCCTACCGCAGCTACATCCAGGGTGGCCGCCCCTTCACCAAGAAGTTCCGCAGTGCCGGCCATGGTCGTGATGGTGACAAGCGGCCACCCCTGGGGCTGGCACCTGGGGGCCTGGCCATGGTTGGCCGCGGTGCTGGTGGGGAGCCAGGCCCTGAGGCCGGCCGGGCAGCTGATGGTGGTGAGCGGCCTCTGGCAGCCAGCCCACCAGGCACTGTGAAGGCCGAGGAGTACCAGCGGCAGAACATCAACAGTGAGTGCTAGTGCAGGAGGGTTGGGAGGGTGGCGGACACTTGCCAGGCCTACCTGGCCACCCACCTGGCTCTCTACTGTGCTTGGCCTTTTAGTTGCTTTTTGGATTGCTCACCTATTCATTTGTCCATCCACCATCTGGTCCAGGTGGTGTCTAAGTCTTGTCTTAGAAGTTCCTGCAGTGTCTGCCCCTTGCTGGCCCAGGGCCCTGGCCTTCATGCTTATCTCTGGTCTCTCTCCCCACCTTAGAATTTGAGCGCCGACAAGCCCGCCCTCCAGATGCTTCTGCGGCCCGGGGGGGTGAGGAGGCCAATGACCTGCAACAAAAACTGGAGGAGGTGCGGCAACCACCACCCCGCGTCCGGCCGGTCCCCTCGCTGGTGCCCCGGCCCCCTCAGACATCACTCGTCAAGTTTGTTGGCAACATCTACACCCTCAAGTGCAGGTACGCTGCCCCTTGGGGAGTTAAGGACCACCTGTATGGGCCTTGGCCACCCGGGGTCTTGGAACAGGACAGGGTCTGGTGGGGGCTCAAAGGTGTTGCCTCAGGGCTGCCCTTGGGTATCACTGAGTCCAGGTTAAGAGCTGACACTCTGAACTTTGTAGCCCGCTCTGACATTTACTAGTTTAGTGACCTCAGGCAAGGACTTACCTACTCCATACCTCAATTTTTCCACCAATAAAACAAGGTTGATAACAGACTTACCCATTAGATTTATTATGAGAACTAAATGAGTTTTATTTATTTATTAATTTTTTTGAGTTGGAGTTCTCACTCTGTCACCCAGGCTGGAGTACAGTGGCATGCTCACAGCCACTGCAGCCTCAACCTGCTGGGCTCAGGTGATCCTTCCGTCTCAGCCTTCCAAGTAGCTGGAACTACAGGCATGTGCCACCACGCCCAGCTAATTATTTTTTAATTTATTGTGGAGATGACGTCTTACCAAGTTGCCCAGGCTGGTCTCAAACCCATGGGCTCAGGCAATCCTCTCTCCTCTGGGATTATAGGCATGAGCCACCATGCCTGGACTAGCCTTCCATATTTTTAAACCATTCAGAGCTGGGCCTGGCACATGGTAAGCACTCAGCTAGTGTTTGGCTGACTAAGAAAAATACAGGTCTTAGTTAATTCTTACTGAAGTCTTTTAAGTATGTCGGAGACGAGGAAACTGAGACTCTGAGATGTGAGGTGACTCGCCTCAGACCACACAGGTCAGGTTAGTAGTAGGATTCAACCCCAAGTCCCTGAAGCCATGGAGCTCTGGCTCTAGGCCCCTGTGCTGTGAGGCCAACGTTCTTCTCTGTGCCCTCTGCCATATCAGATCATATGCATCAGTCAGATGGTAGAGGTACTTGGGAAGCAGGATGACCCCTACTCAATACCAGTGATATCCCTGAACATAGAGGCAGGAGTCTCCATGAGATCCTGCCAAGACCCTGTGGTGGGTGGAAGTGGCTGTGCTTAGGGAAACATCGATTTCTGGGTCCTCTTCCCTCACATCCGGAGCTTGCCCTATCCACATTGAGTAGCAGCAGGTGTGCCCAGGGATGCAGGCAAGGCTATGTTTTTGCCTCTCCTCATGGTAGTGGCCACTTCCTCTCTCTCTCTTTCCTGTTGCAGATTCTGTGAGGTGGAATTCCAGGGCCCTCTCTCCATCCAGGAAGAGTGGGTGCGGCACTTACAGCGGCACATCCTGGAGATGAATTTCTCCAAAGCAGACCCTCCACCTGAGGAGTCCCCGGCCCCGCAGGCACAGACAGCGGTGGCAGAGGCTCCCTAACACAAAAACATTCCAGATCCCCTCTTGTCCCACCTCTGTCTCCTCTTCTTCCTCTTCCGTGTCCTCTTCCCTCTTTTCCCTCTGTCTTTTCCGTTTCCAAAGGAGCAAGCCAAAACCTCAAACCGGCACCCCTTGGGGGCCGGGCACACTACAGCCGGGGTGCCGGGAGCCAGCTAGCTGCCCTTCCCCCAGCCTGAGGACTCTGGGGCCACAGGGTGTCTTCCTTCAGCCCATGCCCACCTGGTCCAGCAGGGGCAGCAGCCAGGTCTCTGGTGGCAGCCGATCCGGTCACAGGGGAGGATGGCACTCCCCGATAGCACTCTAGCAGCCAGGCAGGGCTATGTCTGCCATCCGTGGCCATTTGCAAAGACCCCAAAGACCCCTGTTCTGGTTCCCTCTCACCCCCATGAATATCCTCTCAAACGCATGTACATGCGAACACACACACACGCACCTCGTGAGACTTGGGATCTGCCCCAGCCCCCCAGTTCCCGAGTTGAGCGACCATGACCACATCATGCCACGGTGCTTGCTCAGGGGAAGCTACGCTCCCTCTGTGGGGCCCGATGGGGCCCGGGAGCCCCCCACTGAGCCCACAATGCCACGGAAATCCTTGTTGGCTGCCCCACCAGAGGGGCCTTCCCAGCTGGGAAGAGCTCAGAGCTGACAGCTGCCTCCTGCCATGTCAAGGCCTCTCAAGAGCCTCAGGGGCTCCAGGGCCTGGGAGGGTGGGGTGGGGGGTGGGACTCTCCTCCCCCACTCCTGCCCCCCTTCCCCTTTTCACTGTTGCTTTCTATGTATAGCTCCCTAGACCTTTCACTTTTTTAAAAACGCGTTTTGTGTAGAGAATAAGGAACGTGGATCTTTTTATTTTGCAATCCTGGGCCAGCTAGAAACCGGGAGCTGATTGACCTTTTAACTTTTTTCAGTGGCCACATTTTGGTTATTGATGTACCTAGAAGTATGTAAATTAGATTAAATTTCTCTTCTGGAAACACCCCGGGGCAGGCGGCCAGCGTGTGTTTTTCTGTCGAGTGGACAGGCTGGCATTGGCTGGCAGCTGGGGCTGGGATCGGGCCTCCTCCAACCAGAGCCCTGGAGGCCCTGGGTTTTCCGTTGGCCGCCAAGCCGACCAGACACAGCTGGGGATGGGCCCAAGTTCCAGACACAGCTGGGGATGGGCCCAAGTTCCCAGCTATTGGCCCTCGATGCCATGGCTGGTGGGGGGCTCTGGCCAGCTGGTGCAGTGGCATCAATGAGCAGAGGAACCAGGGCTCTGGGTGGCCTGTCTGGGAGGGGAGCCAGGATCAAGAATCAGTTGAGGCTAGATGAACTTACTGTGGGCAGGAGCTGACCAGTGAGTGTGTCAGGGACCTGCGGGAGGAGGGACAAGCCCACAGCTACTGGGAGCATTGGGGGGGGTACTGCAAAGGTGCAGAGAGCTGGGACTCGCCTGCCTTTGAGACATGTGACTTCTAGTTAGACAACATGCACCCTGAACCCAAGTAACATGAGGGAGAAAGGAGCCACTGACTCCTTTGCGATGTTATTTATTTTCTCACTCTGCAAATGTTTATTGAACATTTCTGAGATTTTTAAGAGATTTTGTTGGCTGCTCCTTCTTGTTTATTGCATGTGGTTTTTCAACTCATTGTTTTCACTAAACGGCCAAGTGTTGGAAAGTGGGAATGACCTCATGGGGTGTGGACAGCAGGGGACTCCTCTACCCCCTACCCTGTTTTCCTGGGCCCCCATCTTACTCTTGCCTGGGAAGGTGGGGTTAACAACTGCAGTAACACACCCACAAGGGTAGTTTTGGCCCACGTGCTTGACTTTCCTTCTGTGGGGTCAGGACACACATCCTGCCTGGTGATGGGAGACCTTGACAACTTCCGTCTGTCCCCCACTGTGAGTGGGTCTATCCAAGTCTTAGCAAGTGCAGAGGGCACTTCCCAGAGGTGTTTTTTTCTCATCCAACTGCTTATAAATCAGTTTAAGACTATAAAAGCGATAAGGCTAGATTTTTTAAAAAGTTCAAATATACAAGAGCTTGTAAAGTCACATAGGATGCCCTTCCCACCCATCATGCAGTGAAGTGATGGCTGTATGTGTCCTTGTCAAGGATCATCTACAGTCCTTGTCAACAGAGGGATCTTTTCCTAAAACTTATGAGCCAGTCCTTGTGTTCTTAAGCCATTCTGCTGTCTCAGGCAGTGCAGTCTTAGCCTTTGGGCTGCTCGCTCTGCAAAGCCATTGGATGTTAACGAAATCAAGTCGGGGTGAAATGGTGCCATAAAGGAAACCTACAAGGATCCAGCAAGGGTGTCCTTAGGCCCTGCCTTAGTTTGGAGGACAGGCAGGCATCCCAGAGGGTGACAAGGAGATGGACTCCAAAGCCAGAATGCACATCAATCAGAGCTCTCTATGTGCTTCATGGATGGAGTTCCGTAGGAAACACATCATAAGTGGCTCTGTCCCATATGGCAACAAGTTCTGCATAAGCCCCATGGTGGAGGGGGAGGGAGCTGGGGGGGGCAGGTTATTAAAACATTTTATCATGGGAAGTTCAGCAAAAGAAAAGTAGAACAAGCAGTAAAAATGAACCCACATTTATTCATCAGCTATCGACTCATGACCAATCTCTTCAGTTATAACCTCCATCGCCTCCTACCCGTTCTCTCTTTTCCTCTCTGAATTGTGGTTAAGCACATCCTGGCCATCAGATCAATTGATTACTTAGTAACTTAAGTATGTTTATCTGAAGGCTATGGACTTGAAAAAAAAATGCCACTATGAGGGCCAGGTGTGGTGGCTCACACCTATAATCCCAGTACTTTGGGAGTCCACAGGTTTGAGACCAGTCTGGGCAAATTGGTGAGACCTCATCTCTACAATAAATCAAAAAATTAGCCAGGAATGGTGGCACATGCCTATAGTTCTAGCTACTTGGAAGGCTGAGGCGGAAGGATCGCCTGAGCCCAGCATGTCGAGGCTGTGGTGGCCGTGAGTGTGCCGCTGCACTCCAGCCTGGGCGACAAAGTGAGACCCCAACTAAAAAAAAAAAAAAAAAAAAGCCACTATGAGCCAGGTGTGGTGGTTCATGCTTCTAATCCCAGAGACTCCAGAGACAGGCTAGAGGATCATTTAAGCCCAGGAAGTTTGAGGCTGCAGTGAGCTATGGTCATGCCACTGCACTCTAACCTGGGTGACAGAGTGACACCCTGTCTCAAAAAAAAAAACCAAAGAAAAAGCCAATATTATACCTATAGAAATGGACAATATAAAAAAATTCAGCCACAACATACTTTTAAAAAAACATTCAAAAAGGTGTACAAGTCATAATTGTACCGCTTGATAAATTATCACAAACATCCATTAAGTAACCCCCAAAAAGCAAAGAAAAAGCCAATATTACATCTAAAGAAATTGACAATATAAAAAAATTCAGCCACAACATACTTTAAAAAAAAACATTCAAAAAGGTTTTGTACAGCTTGGTAAATTATCACAAACATCCATTAAGTACCAATTTCAGTGTCTACTGCTCTGTCAAGTCACCTCTTAGAAATTATGAGATGTCCCTGACATTGGTTCCTATACATCCAGGGAGGGTGCTGAGGACAAGGCTGGTACCGGGCTGCACTATTGCAGGACCTCAGACGTCCCTAATGAACCAAGAGGGTTTTAGAAGCAAAATTCCAATTTTAACACAAGTGTCATGGACCTTGGGTAAATGAATTCCAAGCTTCGGTTTTCTTATCTATTTTTTTTTTTTTAAAGCTCTTCATAGGTATGAGGGCACGTTTGAATGATACACAATCAATTATCACATGTATAAACATGCAGATAGATATATTATCGTTATGTAACGATTAATAACAAAACAACATTTACTCAGTACAGTTGGCACCGGACTGACTTTTTACATACATTTTGTCATGTAATGTTTGCACGTGTGTCCGGCATCTCATTTGGTGTTTAGTTTTAACCTTCTCAGGTCAGTATGGCTTCACCATGTTCGTTGGGGAGCTGAAGGCTAGAGATTTGAGAGACGTTGCCCAGGTTTGCATAGCACTTCGGTAGCAGAGCTGGGATCCCCACGGTGCCCTGCGCCATAGAACCATCTCCCTCTGGCGGGACTCCGGGACACAAGCGCGCCTCCCTCCCGGCCTCGCTTTGGGCCTCGGGCCATTCCGTAGAGCATAGCTCCGCCCCTTCGAATTCTACAAGACTCCACTTCTCTGCCGGCCCCTTTCGGCCAGTCACTGCAGGCTTGGGCTAAGAGGAGGCGGGGACGGGGTGGAGCTCTCCTGAGATTGGCAGCAGCTTTAGCCATTAGTATGAGGAGGTGCTTAGATAGACAATGAGTGTTTCCAATAAGCATGAAGTCGTGGCTGGCGCGAGCCAATGTAGTCGGGAGGCGGGGCTCGGGGGTGTGCGTGTAGAAGAGGCCCGGGTTGTCTAGCCGCTAAAGCAGCGTCGGAAGAGCAGAGCAGCAGCTCAAGTCCTCGGATGTTGTGTTGGCCGCCGCCATGAGCTACACGGGTAGGCCTGGCCGGCTAGGGGTCGGACTCCGGGTGGGGGTCGGGGCAGGGGCGTACCGGTACCCCGTGGGGCTCGCCCGCACCTCCTTCACTGCTCTTTCTGCGGTCACAAAATGGCGCCGCAGGCTCGTCGCCTCAGGGTCGCTCCCCTCACGCCTCCGTGCCTTAGTTCTTTGTGTTTGCAGTCTGACGTCCGGGCGCCCGGCTGCCTGGGGTCTTGGCCTTTGTAGCCAGTGTCCGTGGTCCCCGAGCCTTCGCGCCTGAGGTCCCTGCTCCCCCCACCTTGGTCCCTGGCCTGTACTCCTCGGCCCTCGACGCCTCAGGTCGCCCTCTCAGGCCTCGACCCTTCAGAGCAGTCAGCAGGCTAAACTGCCGTCGCCATTGTTGCGCCCTCCCCGGAGCAGTTTCTCTGCAAAACGCCGCAGCTACACCTCCTCTCCCATCCCACTCACTCACCCACCCTCTTTTGCCTGTCCCAGAGTTGGGAGAGGCGCCAGGTCCTAGGAGGATAAGTAAATATTTGAAGGATTTGGGTTGTGCGGGGAACCTCAGGCTTTGGCAAGAAATAGCCAGCTCCCATGTTAATTCAATCAACATCTGTCAAATTTACCGTGTGAGGTGCTGAGTGGGCACTGGGAATACTGACAAGAATTCCTCAAGCAGCTTTTAGGGGAGAACAGATCTTCCTAGGCAAGTAAAATATATTGGATGTATTTTGGGGTGGTTAGTACTCTGAAAAGATTGCTCTGTTGCATAGTGTGGTTGGAGATGTTTGTAAAGAGGTGACATTTGAGCAGAGGCCTAAATGGAGATAGTTTAGACAGCTGGTCTGGGAGCTGTTGCTGTAAAATGTCCGGTGGTGGCCAGACGTGGTGGCTAAAACTTGTAATCCCAGCACTTTGGGTGGCTGAGGTGAGGGGATTGCCTGAACCCACAGGTTTGAGAGCATCCTGGGCAACTTGGCGAGACCTCATCTCTACAATAAATCAGCAACAACAATAAAAATTAGCCGGGCATGTGGCGTGTGCCTATAGTCTACTTGGAAGGCTAGGCTGAGACGGAGGGATCGCCTGAGCCCAGGAGGTCGACGCTGGAGTGGCCATGAACGTGACACTGCACTCCAGTCTGTGTGACAGAGTGAGACTCCACCTCAAAAAAAAAAAAAATGCCCAGTGGCAGGAACTGCCTTGCCTGGCTTGTTAGGTCAGTCAGGGAGGCCAGTCATATTTGAGCAAAAAGGAGAGTGGGTGGTAAGATCTGAAGGGACCACCCAGTACACACTGGGGATACGCTTGGGTGGTTGTAAATTATCCCTGGGTGAATTGCCAAGGCCTCCTGGGTTTGCCTTGGCAGTGACCGATGAGGTTTCTTGAGCCAGGAGCCTAGATGAGGCCTCCCCCTTTGGTGGAGGTATTACAGGCTTGAGCATGTGTGGTTGCTGGGTAACCTGCCATCTACTC